CAATTAAATTTCGTTTTTTTGGAGAATACATTTTAATTGTTAAGGGATATTTAACACAGCAATAACGATCTAACGCTATTGTAATTAATGTTAAAAGAACACCACATACAGAAAAATTTTTTAAACTATCAACAATACTGCATAAGGCGCGTGCAAATAGCCAACGTTTAAATATAACTGTTGTTATTGTGAATGGTATACAATACACTGTCATTATTATATTAAATATAGATAAATTCAATAGAAATGGAGTTAGTTCAGAACGAGAACGACGACCAAAAAAGAATATAATTATTGCAATAAAATTTGTACAAAATGAAAATATAATCATTATACCATAGATAAGTAAAATAATCATTTCATATGTATATAAATCAGCAAATGATAGGTAAGTTGTTGGAAATTGATGATAGAGATCATATAAAGAGAATGTTGATAGAATTGTTTCATTATTAATCATATTTTTAATAAATACCATCATTTATGAAATGTGTAAGGAGACGTATTTCGATCTAGAAATACTAATTTATTATATGTTCTACTACTAATCGTTATAAAAGCTTCAACAGATGCTACAAATGACTTACTTCAATTTATATATGAATGCAACTCATTCATTAGTAGAATCTATTTTTTTTTCTTCTTCTCTTCTTGTTTTTTCTATCTTATCGATGTTTTCTTTCTTCTCCTCTTCTTCTTCTTTCTTTCGATTCCATTAGAAAAGATAGCGCTCATTTTATATCAGCAACAGCAACAACAACAAAAAAAAGACATTTAATGATGAATGATGGTAAATCGATGCTGTCTATACTCAAGTTTATTGACGAGTCACTATTGATTTGAAATATAAGACAAATATATTATAACATATTGTATGCATGAAAAAGTCTATTTATATACGAAAAAACAAAAAACTAATGAAAAATAGAACAGTATGTGTTTATTCAAATGAATAGCTACAATGAGAATTATATGGTGTGTGTCTTTCCTTTCTTTGTTTTTGCAAATAATAATCGTGAGCAATTATGTGGGAGAAAAAAACTAAAACAGGAAGAATATATATATTCGATATTGTCACGCTATTATAAACAATCAGAAGAGAAAGGATTTGTCTATCATTTCCGTTAAATGATTTGATTTATCGTCATAAAGAAAAACAAAAACAGGTTATCTAATGTTTTTTTTCCAAGTAAACGAACCGAATTACCACTTTAGACGGATTAATGTAAATCATAGGTATTAGTAAGTATTTTCGCTCGAATAAATTAATTACTTTAGTACGAAGTATCAATTTTTTTCCGCAAGAATTAACCCAAGACATTTCCGTTTTTCTTAGTATGTAAATAACTATTTCTTAGAATTGTACACTAATGAAAAAAAGAATGTCCTGGAGGCATGTCTGTAAGAACCGATCATCTAGGTATTAAAGATTAGTGATTCCTTTTTCCACTGAAATTAGAAGACTTCTTATTTGACATTACGAAAATATATGGATTCTCTTCCGTTACAATAAACATGAAACTTCCATTCTAATGAACAACATTACATTGTTTTTGCCTAAGCTGACTTAAGAAGAAATTTTGTAGTAAAATATATAGACCAGATCAGTGGCGGATTTAGGGGTGGGCGATCGCCCCCTCCTTCAGAAATGTTTTTGGTTAAATGAACCTAAAAATAGGTTCACACTACTTTGATTGGACTCAAAAAATAGTTTTTAGTCAAAATCGGCCCTTCCCTTCCAAAATCCTAGATTCGCCACTGGACCAGATAGAAAAGAGCGATTGTATATAAATTATAGAAATACTTATCTATGTGTGTATGCACTTTTACAATCTAATTGTATACTCTCAAAGATTAATTTCATTTTAGATCGAATTACTATAAACAGAATTACAATACTTATTTTCATCTTTAGTTCTGTCTCAATTGAATTGTTTATCATGATGTACTGATTGTTAACACATACAAAAATCTTCTTGATAGATAAAAACTTTGTAAGAAAATATTTAGTAATTAAGTATGACATGTTTATTTATCCTGTAGTAGAATTTTAAACATATATATCTAATCATTAATGTTGTAAGAAAGTCAGTGAGTCTAATAGAAGAATTGTCTGACTAAATATTAAGAAAAGAAAGGAAGAAAGATGACAACGAAAAATTATTCTTGGGTACAAACTATAATTAAATTAGATCCATCAATTAAGTAATCAGAAAGAAATACTATATGTACTGAATTATTACAACCTCGTGAATGATATTTCCGAACGACCCAAGTAATGTATCAGTTCTTAATTACATCCTGTTTATATTAGTAAGTCCAAAGTTACTAAACATCGCAGTAAAAAAACCGGAAACAGCTATCTCCTCTTTCCTTATCTGTTTGACGCATACTTTTCCATTTGTTTTAATATTTACGATATAATAACTTCTGTCTTTATTTTTTTTTTGTTAAAAAATTTAAAAGAAACATGAGTACAAATGTAATTGATTTTCGAACTATCAATTTCCTGATTTACTGATAAGAATAACACTTGAAATGAAAAGATAAGAGCAGTTATATTTATCATGAGATTCTATTTTTCTTAAGAGTTTATAATGACTTTCTATTTTATTAATAATTTAATAAATCTCTTACTTTCAATATTATATACTCAATTCTATTTTCTAATTTTATATAGCAATAAACAAGTTTCATTGTTTGTCTTCACATAATAAAATCTCAATAGAATTCTATTCATTATTTCTTTCTTCTTTTTATGATAATATTGTAAAAGAGCTCAGACAGATATTTTTATTCTAGCATGTTTATTATTTTTCATAGTCGATATTTTCGGTTTATCGAGTTCTCTTCTCTTTCATCTACTTATAATATTACACGAGACATTTCTAGTCGTTATTAACAATTATAAATTTGATACTACTCGACAAAATAAAGAATCTCAAAACTATTGCTTTATGTATTTAATAATAATGACTTTTTTTTTTAATCTTAGAACCTCGATCAAATGAAGCATTTGATTATCTGAAATATGACATTCTAATTAATACTATTATAAAACCTATCGGTAGCATGTGTACTCATCAATAGGAACAATACAATACTATTTCTTTTTATAGAATTTGATCCTTAATAAAGAGGAAGCTGTAAATTTATTCCTTACATTAGATTATCGAAACAGTTAAGGATGATAAAAATAACTATTATAATTTACTTACAAAGTTTTCTAAGATCTCAAATAGTTAATAATAAAATGAAGAAAAAAAAAGATTGTTTATCCCGAGAAATCAATTAACTCAATGAAAAAGGATACTTACGTCTGTGTTTAAGATTTTCTATATGGAAATTTGATTCATAGATTAATCAAATATATAATTAGAATATTCATCATGTTAAGAAACGAACCTTACTCTTTTTTTTATCGTTATAGATTTTTATTCGAAACCCATCAATATACTATGAATTTTTTCATATCTCGTTTCATAATTAATATTTCTAATTATATCAACCTATAAGAAACGAGACTATCTCTGACGTTTTTCATTACAGAATAATTTGGATCTTCTATTGCCTGTCAGTTTGTAATTATTGCGTGATTGAATAACACAATACATATATATGATAAGAAAAGATATAAATAGAACCTGTCAATCGATATATTCTATTGATTACATTTTATTTTTAAGAATACTTAGAAGGTAATTCAATATCATGAAAAAAACATATCATTCATATTTATATGACTTACATATGTTAACAGCTTTGTTTTCGTAGATTATATTTATGACGTCAATAACGTCTTAAACACGATAGTTTTTATACAGCGTCAATATGCTTCGTTGAATAAAGTATAACAAGGAAATACAATCGTAAATATACTCTTAAAAGGATGGAGAGTGTGTAATTTGTTTTTGTCTCCTACTTTGACTAATTAACAAGAAAAATTGATTATTTCTCTAACACTGTATTTATGCAAGTTAATTTTAGTACAAATCAGTTTTGATCATGATATTAAAATTACTTCTATGTCAATTATTCTGTTCCTAAAATGACACGAGACATTTGTTTTTTAAAAAAATAAAATAAATTTATTACTGTAGGTGTGTCAATTATTCTTATCTTCTACAAATTATATATATGAATGAAATGATTACATACAACTGATAATAATCTAGAAGTGAATTTAAAAAATTTGATGATATACACTAGACTTATCTTATATAAACAGAAAACAAAAAATTAGTTTTATTTCAATGGCGTCTCGGGCCAAATGAATGAATATATATACTTATTTTTTTATAAAAGTAAGACAAAATTTATTATTCTATAGATATAAATAATGAGAGAGTATACTATACGTACGTCATTAGAATCATTTTCGACACTTATAACTAATAAAATGATATCAAGATAACTTCTAATAAATAAGATGTATCAAGTATCAATGTAAAAATACTGCTAATTAACAACAATAATGCATAAATTAGTAAAACTAGACTTCTATAAATTGCCTTTTTTTTGTTTCTTTGAATGTAGTTATTCATTATATATAATGATGTCCTGTAGTGTACTGCTTCAGCCTACGTCATATGGCATCATCTACTATATTCAACTGATTGCAATATGTGTATATATAAAAAGATAATTTCACACTCCATAATTATATAATACGAACATTTTATTTCAATAAAAAATAGTTGAGTACTCAAAGGTTACAGGTACTCAATTTTTTATTTTTATCTGTAGTTCAAACATTTCATTACACTTGACATATGTTGATATTTTCTAAATAATTACGTACTTATTCAAATAAAAAACGTTCACGACAAAATTCAGATGTCACTCAAAATCAATAGTAGAAAAATGTCGCTGTTATATTCATTGCAGAGGATATAGCTTAGGTTATGATTGATAACGAACTCGATATGGTTTCTATGTAAATAAAAGAAAAGAACATAATCGATAATCAGCTTTTGTTAATCTTCACGCGTCACTTTCAGATGCAAGCCATTAATCCTGTAGATGTTCATGTTGAAAAAGAATGGCGTGTAGGATCAGCTGTTAAGAAAAATGTTAAAACATCAAGTAATACAAATCGAACTGCACCTCGCATGCGTACACAAGTTGTGAGCAAGACTAAACCTAAAAAAACCAAACCTATAGTATCACCATCACCTAAAATTCCTAAACAAGTTGTTGTGCCTAAATTAGTTTTACCAGTTCGTTCTTCAAGTTCATCACCAAATCGAGAACCATGGTAAAACAAAAATCGTTAAAAATTGTTTTTTAATTATTTAATTTAGGGTTCCACCACCAGGTCGTTCAACAAAAGGACAAAAAGTTTCGTGGCAGGTTTGTAATTAATTTAATTTTAAACTTTAATTCTTTTGTTCTTTTCATGTGTAGAGTCCAGAATCACGTTTGGAAATTAATCCCGTTACGGAAATAATAATTAATGATGGAAACAGTCAAAATATAAAGTCTGATAGACAAAATAGCACAAATAATTCTCAGACAAATACACTTTCGACTTATGAAGATGGAAAATTAATAGGAGAAATTCAAAACTATGAAAAACGTATTCAAGGACTTATTGATGGTATTGGAATGCTTAAAGAACGAGTAAAAAAAATAATTTTATTTATTCATTTTTCTTTTTGAATACATAAACTTTAAAATAGATGCATAATCATGCAAATACTCCTGATCAAACTAATCAACTCCGTTCGGATATTGACTCATCTTTATACGAATTAGAACAATTACAACAAGATTATACTAAACGTTTATCTAGCCAAAAAACAAAAATTTCTCGTGCACGATCACTATCACCTGTTCGTAATAAAAATCGTTCGTCAAGTGCTGATGAACAACGACATAGAAGAACTACAACACCAAGAGTTTCTTTTCAAGATGATCCAATTATTACAAAGTCTGAGATTGTTTTCTAAGAATTTTATTTTATATGAATTGATTGATTTAGGCGACGAGCACGTAGTACAACACCGATAAAAGGTCCACTATATCTTAATCCAGATCGAGAACGATTATTAATATCATTAACTGAATCAGAAGCAGATGTTGCACAAATTACCAAACAATTATCTTCAGTGAATGATATCCTCATAAAACTTAAATTTGTATGTATTAATGTATAAAAATTAACTGTGTTAGCTTTACCTGTAAAGACTGAACTTAAAATTAGTGCCTGGCTGTGAGGGAGGAAACGGGAATGAGATTGAGAAAAAATATGTATATTGGAATGCATAAAAATTAGTGCTTAATAAATTTAATCAATAACATACCAACATGTAACACATAAAAACTTCTTAGATTCGTTTAAATCAAATTATTCATATGTGATAATATGCACTGGAGAAACTAAAAATCTTATTTAGAAAAAAAAAAGATGATCTAACAATCTTTAAATTCATACCTTCGAGTTTTTAGTCGCCGATTTGTGTTAATACGAATGCTTTACGTTCATGTCAATTATCCATTACTCTTAATATTCTTATACGTAAAATGATGACATTTTTCTACTTAATTTTTCTTCTTCTTTTCATTACAATAATAAACACAACTGGTCTTCCTTTACTATCGAATATTTATTTACTTTCAGTCGATACCAATTAAGAAGTATAGAAGAAGAAACCTTTAAGTTCAACCTATACATATTATCAAAATAGTTAGTAAATATTTATACTTCATATACAGTCATCTCAACTCTTTTATTGTTTAATATTGAACCAAGAGACAACGTTATGCGAGCTGAAACAGTTTCGATATATGTACTTATCCTAGTTTTGAAATGAATCAAACTTTTTTCATTAAAAAAAATCGAGACTACATTATATTCATAAATGAACTTTTGTATGTATGCATGGACCAAGCGTATAAAAATACTTTATACAATAAACTTGATTTTAGTGATGCTATGAGTACTTTGAAGTATATAAGAAAAGATATGTGTACATATATAAGACTTCTGTTTAGAAAGAAAACATTTCTTTTGTATATAAATTAAAATGTATATATATATATGTATTTAGGAAGACAAACCATTGTCATTCGAAGTTGAACAACTTTATCAACATCGAAATCAACTATTACATTTGATTGAACAATTTGAACGTTCAAATAGTAAACTTAGAGAATTTCTTCGTCATCAATATCATTTAGAAGCTGAACATGGAATAATTAATGATAAATATGATACATATAAAACACATATACATGAACTTGAAAATGAAAATCAACAGATAAGACATTTATTACTTAGTCGAGAAAATGATAATATTGCTTTACTAACGGAACTTGAACGTATAAGAACTCATACAATTGGTTTTGATACAATGAAAACATCATTAGAACATAATCGTGCTCATCTTCAACGAGAATTATATGCAAGAGAAGGAGAAATTAATCGATTACAATGTATTATAAGAGTAAGATCAAACTGTCTCTATATACTGATAACTTATGGAATATGAATACATTAATAAATCGAATTATTTTGATTCCATCGTATCGCTTAAGATATATTAAACAGTTTGGGTATAGAAGTAAAATTAGTTCTAACTTGTTTAAAATCAGATCATCGATATATATATAAAGAAAAAAGTACTTACACTCTTTAGTACTCATAACTCTAACTTGTATAGATATTATAAATTCTCTAATATATTGTATCTTTCTTTTTAGACATTGGAACGCGATCTTCAACGAAACCGTTTTCC